AGCAGGTTTGTGTGAGTGACTGAGCTGAACTGACAGAGGAGAATAAATAGTTCTTCCTGCCTTCGCTGTCCTCACAATCCCCTTGACATTTAAAAAAGTTAAAAGCTGTTTGGTAGTTGTTCTTTTGTTTGTTTTTTTGTTGTTGATAATGTTTGTTTTTTTGCTTTTTTATTTATTTTCTTTATCTATCTGCTTATAGTTGTTCAGGTGGGGGCTTAGATCAGCCAAATCTGTGCTTGGAAAATCTGTCCTCAGCTTTTCGTAAGCAGACAGCCGAGTGTTTCATACTATTCCTGTGCAGAGTCCCTGTGTCACGACTGTTTTCCTTTCCTGGCAATCTCTGTGTGTGTTCCCCTTGTGATCTGCGGGAGTGATTTCTACAGTCCGGGTGCTGTGCAATCTTACCCTTAACAAACCTCTTCCTCTCCAGGACAGATCAGAGCCAGAAGAGGAACGAGCAACTCTATAACCTTTATACTTTGGCAACTTCCCTTGTCTTTCCTTCTTTCTTCCTGTGTCTCGTGACCCTGTTTTTTATTGAACTTACCTTAGGAGCAAGCCGAGCTGTGTGTAACACACCCCACGTGTTCCTGGTGGTGGCCAGCTGCTGCTGTTGGCTCAGCTGCTCTGGTGACAGTCTCCTTCCAGAGTTCTGAGCTCTCTGTACTTTCTATTCTCTGTCCACCTCTCAAAGGGTCTGACGCCTTAGTGCCGTGGGACCCTTTCTGGGGCCTCTCTGTTTTCCTTGTTCTGTTTGCTGCTTTGGATCAAATCTTATCTGAAAACACATTTTGTCTCTTTTGTGTCTTAAACCCCAACCATCTGCTCTGGTTTATCTCTGTGATAAGGCTGAGTAAAGCACTTGGGGAGGAGGCATAGGTGGAAGTTTGCTCTGCAGGAGGTGGGCACAAGATTCTCAGGGCTAAGCCGAAGTGAAAATTGCTGCAGAAGCAAATTGGTTGCACCATAATATGGACATGGGAGACTGTAGGCAGCTTGAGCACAGAGGAACTTAAATTTTGCATCCCTTTTTTGTTCAGTTTTTAAAGCATTTGAGGATTGTTATCTGAAGTCCTCCTGCTTCAGCCTGTGTGCAGAGCGTGGTATCCTCTCATGCTGTGCTTGGGGCAGCTTCAAGTAGCTCAAGCAGAGAGGATGATGTCTCAGATGTGCTTTCTGAGAGGAGATAAGGCCAGTTGAGAAAGGTTTGACTGAAGGAGCTAGGCACAAGAAATTTGTGAAGGTGACAGCTTGGAAACAGATGACAAGATGTTGCATGACATCTATGCCACATGTGTAAAAATGAGCATGTGTCTGATATATAATATGGTCCTTCCAGCTCTGGACCAGCTCTAGACATGTTCTGGAGTGGGGACAAGGAGTGTGCACACTTCTATGTGTACATATGCATGTGTGACTTAAGATGGCATTTTTGTCCCTATGGTGGTAACCAACCGCTCCCCAAAGCCCGCAGGAGTTCAGATCCTTCTTAGGAGCCAGAGGAGGTTTTTAGGCAATGTTTAGGAGGTGAATGAGTGAAACAGGAAGGGCAGGATGTGGCCATCTGTGGAGGTCGAAGAGGACAGGCAGTGTGTTGCGAGGTGGGGAGGGAAGTGGCAGCATTACAAAAGAGTGTTGCCTTGGCTTGGGTGTGAGTAGGTGGAGCAGGACAGGCAGAGCTGGCCCAGGGTGTCCACGGCTGCTGATGCTCAGGGACTGTGGAAGGCCCAGGTTTGAAGTGGTGTCAGCATTTGAACTGTGGGGTAGATTTACTCCTGCCTTTTACAGACTGTAATTGAATTGCAGTGAGTGTAGCTGGCACTGCTGAAGCAGTGGCTGCAGGAAAGCTGGCTAGGAAGCATTTAGCTGTAACAAGCCACCCCAAGCCCCCTGGTCTGACCTTTAACCACCAACACGTTGGTCTGTCTTTGCTTATCAGCTTTATATCCCCGTAGTGACTATTAGTATCACTCCAGCCAGTACAGACAGCTCTGTCTTCCCTCTGCTCAAGCCTGGGAATGTTGCATGTGCTGTAACCACTGTCTGCTTGCTGACCATTAGACTTTGCAAAGACTACCAGTTTAATATAGCAGCTTGTCAGATTGTGGTGAGGCAAATTTATTACCGTACCACACTGGCAATCACTCTGGTTTGCTTGCAGTGTGTGCACAGATGCCCAGGACAGCCTGGGCTGCTGCAGTGCTCCCACAGTGGCCCAGAACTTGAAGGCTGAGTGTGTGATTTGATGCTGTGTGAGTACTTAAATAGAAAGATCAGAGATGGGTGTCAGGTTTGTTCCTTCTGTCCAGAGCCAGAGGGTGATGAGCAATATCCTGCCTTGCAGCCCCAGACCCTTCAATATCTGTCAGAGCTTTACAATACAGTTGGGAATGGCTGTCCTCCATGCCCATCAGCATCAAGGGCTAATCGGTTCAGAAGGCATGAGGGCCTCCCATCTCCATGGCTCTGAACTCCAGCCAGAATTGCAAATGAGCAAACCAAACCTGGCAGTTGTACCATGATCTCCTGCCTGGCAGGGGAGTGGGGAAAGCAAAACAAAGCCCCAGCTTAACTGGCTGGGCCCAAAATTGCAATCCTGCCCTGACAGCAGGCAGACAGACCTGTTTGGTATGAGTGTCCGTGGCTTATGGTTAGCCTGGCCACCGGAGCACTGGGCTCTGCCAGCCTCAGTGCCGGGAGCTGGGCACAGCACGCAGAGAGTGGGAGGATCTGAATATGATCTCTGGAGTCAGCAACTGCTGTGGTTATTCTGGTGTTAATTTGATGTGTACCACATCTTGTCTCCTAAACTCTCCCTGGGAAGTGGCATGTAATTCCTTAAAGTACCAAGGGCCTTTTGCCTTTGCAGCACATTAGCAAGTTGGGTTGCTTGAAAAGGACTTTATCCTGCCCAGATGGGGCTGGGGTAGACACTGCGATCGAGCAGGCTACTTCCATTCTGGAGCCTTTCTGAGTATAAGCTGGGAGATGGGATTGCGAATGCTTGCCTTCTCTGCAGCCCCCCACTCATTCTGCAGAGTGACTGTGATTGATCTGGCAGAATGGGGTGTTTTCAGGAGCGGAGCTGGAGGGCAGGCGGGGAGGACAAAACCTCTGAAATGAATCAGGGGCTCTGAAAAGATCCGCTGGGGTTGGGGCATAGCAATGAAAAGCCATTGTCTGGAGCCTAGACTGTGGCTAAAAGCGTTACTTATCCCGATTTGGGTAGTGGTTGTAAGAGGGTGTGGTATTCCCAGGAATGGCAAAGCCAATGTGCTTAGTGATGAACGAGAGAATGTTATTTGATTGCCTCACAGGTAGTTCAAGAAGCTTTATGGAGTATCTCAGTTGCAGAGTAGCAAGTCCAATACCTGATTTGCAAATAAAACTGCATTTATTGTGTGCAAAGTGGATTTCCTATGGGTATTTTTATTGTGGTTGGAACTTGATCGCCTTTGGCTCAGATTTGTTCATGTCATAGATTTGAGGCACTACTGCCCCTTTTACCAGTGCTTTTGCAAGACAAAACAAGAACCTCACTAATTGGTACAGATTGGCAATACTGGTTTTGTTTTCTGTGGTAAGTGGCATTCAGCAGATGCTTGTGGTGGCTCTGGGCTCAGAGTGGGGCATGGGTTTAAAGGGAGGAATGGTGGGTACTAGTGAGAATGGGATATCAGGATATGAGTGGGATATGAAACTCATATCGAGTTTCTGAGACTGAGTTTCAAAACGTTCAGATATGTACCCGGATCTTCTCCAGACAATCTGATTCCTGGAGCCTACAGAATTGGGCTTGGAAAACCTCCCAGTTTCTGTCTGAGCCAACAGAAGGAGCCTTTCACATGGTCTTTCTGTTTTCTGTCTAGGATGTACAGAAGTGAGAAAATGAGAAGAAATGATAAGGATGCCTTCCATTCTCAAAGGCTGGGGCAGGATCAGGAATTCTGTGCGGGCGGGATGGAGTCAGCTGCCTTTCCTTTGCTTACCTATTTGCAAATATGATGAAACATCAAGAGTTTGTCAGGAAGGGCAAATCCAGAGCGATACCCTCTGATTCATGGCAGTTATGTTGTCTGAATTCCAGTGTGCAAAATCACAGTTGCATCTTTGCTGCGTTAGTCATCCTGAGGAGGACAAGAACAAATTTGGCTGACACAGGTAAACCACTAAATTCACCAGAATTGCTGGAGATGAACCCAACTTGTTAGACAGCAAAGTCTGCATCCAGGCGCAGGAGCACAGACAGAACAGAGAGCGTGCCTGGGAGATGATGTGGTGAAGGTCCTTTGTTGCCCACCTGGCAGCAGCCCAGGCTGCACACTCAACAAGTGTGGTGCTGCACTAAATGCCAGGTGCTATTTAATTCCTTTCATCTCAAGCACTCTTTACAGAAGGGCATTATTAGTACTGAGCACTTCAAGCAGCTCCAATCTGTGTACCTGACAGTCCACTGTGTTATGCAAGGAGAGGTAAATCATCTGAAAATATCGTTACATTTGTTCCTTCCCTCTTCTTGTTGTCTGTCTCCCTCCCCCACCATCTTTTCCTGTTTTCTGCTGTTTTTTTTCCGCTTTTGAAGCTCGAGCAGTGTCTGAGTACGTGAATGCCTGCATGTAACAGATCCCCTTTCTCAAACCTTTTGATGGTCTCCAGTGCAGGGAAATCGCATCTGAAACAGCTGTATCTGGCTCTGTGTTTGACATTTTGTTTTCTCACTGCTCTTTCTTCTAAGCAGCTTTACAAGGAGCTCTTCCCTCTGAAGAAAACACAGTGGGTGACTTTATGTTTCTAGTTTGCTACTTTCTACAGTAAAAAGGGGGAAGTTGGTTCTATACCAGTAATTTTGGCCTGGGATAGCACTGCTGGCCTAAGCACCAGGTGGTGGAGTCCATGAAAGTGTTGGAAAAGTCCAGATATTTGGGATGAGGGAAAATTAATCCCGCCGCTTCCAGGGAGAGGTTGAATTTTGGCTGAGTTCAAGATGGTGTTTCACCCCACAGGGTTGATACTGTGAAATGGAGAGAAAATAAAAATGGGGTTTACTCCTGTTGTCTCTGCCTGCTCAAGGTAGGTCTGCTCTGGTTTGGAAGGAGTGGCACTAGGTTGTAGTGCAGCCCATACACGGAGGGCCTGTATATGTCTGACTGCTTGGGAATGAATCTCAGCTGCAGCATGAGCAGCTTCTTCCAGGTCTTCTGAGCTGAGCCAGCAGGGAGCCTTACTGCTTATTTATTTACTTATTTACAGCTTTAAATAGTTCATGGTTGAGTGGGGCAAAAAGAAATGTGTTCTGGTTGCTGCTTCTCTGATTGGCAAACAGAAAGTGCCCAGCTTGGGATCATGGGATTTGGGCTCTTTGTTGGTGTTTAGCAAACCTTTACAGTCTTGGGAGAACACATATAAATCCTGTAGTTTTGCCTTTCTAAGCAGAAATTATTCTTGATCCCCTGAAGTCCCACTGGGGAACATATTCACTCTCAAATGTCCTCTTGAAGGAAGCAGGATCTCAGCTGGTAATTCCCTGCAGATAGTGAATGAATTTGCAGATTTGTGGAGGGGCTGCTAGTTTGAGATGGAGGGGAAGCCCCAAGCCTGGCTAAATATAGTTCATGTATCAATAGTCCTTTTGAGCTGTCCTCTCATGTGCAGTTCTTCTGTGATTGGGGACAGGGCCTGATACAGCTTCAAAGTGTCTGTCTAAGAGGTGCTTGGATTTTTCAAGAGATGATAGAGTGTTTCCTAAAGTTCTCTTAATGACCCATTCCAACAGGGCTCTGACATGATGACCCACCAGCCTGGGAGGGACAGTCTTCTGCTGGGACATGGTTTGGAGGAAGCACGAGGCTCTTGGATAGGAGAATTGTGCTTCTTTGAGTGGGAGTTTGGCCATCTCTGTGCTTTTGGATTTTCCCCTTGTCTTTTATAGCTTAGTCCTGTCCAGAGAGACTGCTGGGGTATTTTCTTCATGAACTGAGATTGAGGAGTATTTTCTCGCTGAGCCAACTCCTTCCTTCCTTCAGGGTTGCTGTCTGCTCTCTCTGGGTGAGTGGAAGGATTTTCAAAGCATCCTTATCTTGCTCTGCTGGAAAAAACCTGTCTTTCCTATCCTGGCTGTACAAAGGCTGTAGACAGCCAGGGGAATACTACAGCCAGCAGACATCATTGGATAGCTGTCAAAAAGCTGATGCCCCTCTGCCCTCATCCATATGGAAGAAGGATTATCATCTGCCTCTGCGTGCAGTTAAGATCCTTTTAAAAGGTTATGCAGTAGATATTTATTTTTTCAATAACTGCCTTTCGAAGTTAAAAAAAATGAATGCAGCATGGAGAAATCCAAGCCCCAGTTTGTTCAGGTCATGCCTTCTGCTATTCTCATTGACACAGCTGTTCCAGCGACAGCTTCCTGCCTGATGGAAGATGCAGCTGGGAACAGCGATAACCCCTGAGCGCTCACAGAGCGGCAGGAGCTTGGCGGGAGCCACTGACAGGTTGCTTTGAGTAAAATATTCCTCGTTCTGAGTGGCTCTGCTTTTTCTCTTTAGCTCAGTAGTTGGGTAAGGGAAGCAAGGAGTGTGGTAGGGGCCAAATTCTGCTCTGCATGTGTCCGCTTCAGAGAAGTGCACACGTCATGGGTCCAGCCTGTTCATCGCCACAGTTAAACATTGCTTAAATCGAAGCATACTTTTGTGCACATCATGAAATTGTAGGAGATCATTTACCTGCAGGCTTCTGAGGTTTGTGAGCTGCTAGATTTTGGAAGAAACCCACCAGATGAAATAGCTGCTGCCTGCAGTTTCTGTTTGTCTGATCGGGGTGAGATGATGCCAAGGTCTCTGGTAGACTGAGGAATGCGGTGAGGTGTGTTTGTGAGGGAAAGGATTAGTACCTGCCACTTTTCTGCTTGTGCCACTATGGCAGGATTCAAGAAGCCCTCAGAAAAAGCTGTTTGGATATTGCTGAAAACCACAAGCAAGGCTTGCTGGCTGCACCCCAGAGTTCAGAGGCTGCTTTAGTTTCAGTTTAGTGGTCTGTCTAGCCCTGCTCATCTGTGACCAGTAGCATCCAGTGTCATAACCCGGCCCCAGGAGAGGCCAAGTAAAGGGGCTGTGACTGTGGCCTCTTTAGGTTTCAGACTTGAAGCTGCACTGGGGGGGATCAGTTGGTGCCTGTATTGGGACAAGGTGATATGAAGAGCAGTGCTGGGGACTGAACTGGAAGCTGCCAGTTTATTCCCTGAATGTTGTTTAATACACATAAGATAGAATGCTACCAAGTTCTCTGGGCTAGATGTTTGATGGTAGAAGCCTGAGATTTTATATATATATAATATATGTGTGTGTGTGCACACAGTATATGTATCTGTATGTGTGTGTATATATATATAAAATGGCTGTGCTGCAGCTTTTATACAGACATTTTAATTTCTAAATGACCTGCTCCTTCTATTCTGAGTAGTGATTTTTTAATCTTAGTGTCAGAAAAATTATTGCTGCGTCCCTGCAATCCTTGTGTTTGTTTCCATAGCTGTTCTGTATAAATTGCTTCATTTTTTGTGCATAAGCAAATCAAAGGTTAACATTGAATAGCTGACCTGAGCTGTGAGCAAAGAAAGCAGTGGCAATGGCAGGGTGGTTTCTGAGGTTGTAGGAATAGGAAACTAAATCAATAGCTTTTAGCAGACTCATAAATGTTTCATTTGTATTCCTTGCTTCGGTGTTGACATGGGAATCCATATAACCTCTTAAATTAGTGTTGTTCCTGTGCTGGGTAGATGTTGGAAACATTTCCTTCAGATGCACTTCAAAGTGCTGTTTCATAATGGCATTTTCCTTCCTCTTTTGGAGGCTTGATTCTGCACAGCCTCCAATCACGAGTGAAATGAGCTTGTCAGCCTCAACCCAAGCAAGGCTGCAGGGGTTTTGGTGATGGCATGTACATATCCAACCTGATTACCTGCATCAATGCTCCTGCCTTGACTCAGAGGCTGAGCAGGAATTGCGGCTGCTTGGGCAACCTGTCATTTCTACATGGAGGAGCACAGAGATTTTTCCCTGGACTGTGACACAGCCCTAAGGAATGAGTGAGGCCTTGGGAAGACCAACTTCAATAATTCATGGCAGCAGGGGGGAAGGAGCAACATACCCACAACTGTTTGTCTAATTTGGACTCTTTTGGATGTGCTGGAGAAGCAGGGGTAGGAAGCACATGATCAGAGCCTGAGTCAGGCAGCTTATCTGGCCATCCACCTCTGCTTGAGGTCATCCACCCGTGGAGTGTGGGAGGGTTGTGCAGCTCCAGGTCACCGCCAGGTCAAGGCTGTGACCTGCGGCAGCCCGGGAGCGCTGCGTCCGTGCTCCCAGCATTTCGTGGGTTCCCCCGAGACCCCCCAGTGCTGGGCTGGGGTGATGGAGAGCTCAGCTGGGGAGGATAGGGTTGAATTGCAGCCCTTGTGTTTGCAGGGTAGAAAGACCCTTGAGAAACCTCTGGTTGTGAAGAGGAACTTAAAAAAAAAAAAATCCAACCAACATCAACATGAAGAAACCATCTGAAAGACCTTCCCCAACTGTCTGGCTAATGACTGATTTCTAAACATTTCAGTGGCTGGAGTGGAGGTACAGCAGGATGAACCCATTTTTCTCTTTTTTTTGGGTTCATTTTTCAAACCTCAGGACAGTTGTGCTACGAACTTCAGCATTGACTTTCTCCTGTAAGAGAGGGCTGTTTGCATATCTGTCTGTCTGCTTTAGTCACACAAGGAACAAAATACAGCTGGCTAAAATATTTTGGAGTAATTTACTTGTATTTTATCATCTAGGTAGTATTAATTTGATTATTCCAAAGGAGTATTCTTCTACAGGCAAAGAACGGTATCAGGTAGCACTTAAATGAAATAGTAGCTAATAAAAGCCTTGTGTTTGCTTCTGCCTGTCTGGTAAAAAGTGTAATTGGGCTGTCTCTTTTGTTTTACTCTTATGTGAATCTGTCCTGCAAAATGTTTAAATCATATGAAGTGTGTGGTGAGTTTTATCATCAAAAGCTACAACAAATGGCTTTGGTAAAATTTGTTCAAAACTTTTGACTTGTGCTGGTAGTTAAATATTCCATAAATAAAACCTCTAGCAATTGCCTTTCCTAAACCTGCAGCAACAATCTATATGAAAATCAGAAGCCAGACACTGCTCAGCCAGGAACAGACCAGTGCCCTTTATCCTGGATAGTCTGCTCTCTCGATGCTGTTTTCTAAGGAAAAATAACTCTTCTGCGGTTTGCCAATACCCTCTAGGGGCTGTTGAGACAATCTACCACCAAGTTTGGGGGTTGATTGCTTCACTTTGTTGCTCTGTTGCTGAAACTAAAGTGGAGAATTCCCTTCTTCACCCCACTCTGCCTTCCCACCCTGTTCAGCCTGAGTTAAATTTTTTGGAGGATGTGAGAGTGCATGAGGCACGGGCTCTGCAAGTGGGGATGCAGGAGCACAGGGGCATCAGCTGGTGCCTCATGTTTGAGGTCCATTGGCAGTGTACCAGGGTTGGATAGCAAATGCACATGTTCTCCATGCCATACATCAGTAAGGACAAGGGAATAATGGTTTTCCTGTTTGTTCTCCTGCAGGCAAGAGCTCTACCATCATGTCAGTCAGCGTCCACGAGAACCGTAAATCCCGGACTAGCACGGGCTCCATGAACATCTTGCTTTTTCACAAAGCTTCCCACCCGGACTGTGTCCTGTCCCACCTGAACACCCTGCGGAAGCACTGCATGTTCACCGATGTCACTCTTTGGGCAGGAAACAGGTCGTTCCCGTGCCACCGGGCAGTGCTGGCTGCCTCCAGCAGGTACTTCGAGGCCATGTTTAGCAACGGCCTCCGGGAGAGCCTGGATGATGAGGTGAACTTCCATGACAGCCTCCACCCAGAGGTGCTGGAGCTACTGCTGGACTTTGCCTACTCCTCTCGGATCATTATCAATGAGGAAAACGCTGAGTCCCTCCTGGAAGCTGGAGACATGCTGCAGTTCCATGATGTCCGAGATGCAGCGGCCGAGTTCCTGGAGAAGAACCTTTACCCTTCCAACTGCCTGGGCATGATGCTGCTCTCGGATGCTCATCAGTGCCGACGGCTCTATGAGCTCTCCTGGAGGATGTGCCTGGTCAACTTTGAGACTGTTCACAAGAGTGAGGACTTCAACAACCTTTCCAAGGACACTTTGCTGGACCTCATCTCCAGCGATGAGCTGGAAATTGAGGATGAAGAAAAAGTCTTTAAGGCTGTCATCCAGTGGGTGAAATACGATCTGGATGAGCGGAAGGCTTATCTCCCAGAGCTTCTGAGGAATGTTCGTCTGGCTTTGCTTCCTTCTGAATGCCTCAAGGAAGCTTTGGCTTGTGAGGACTTGATCATGGTGGATGAAAGGAACAAGATTGTCTTGGATGAAGCTATTCAATGCAAGAAGAAGATCCTCCAGAATGATGGAGTCGTCACCAGTCCCTGTGCCAGGCCTCGCAAAGCTGGGCACACCTTGCTGATCCTGGGAGGACAGACCTTCATGTGTGATAAGATTTACCAAGTAGACCACAAAGCAAAGGAAATTATCCCCAAAGCAGACCTGCCGAGTCCACGGAAGGAGTTTAGTGCCTGTGCCATTGGCTGCAAAGTATATATCACTGGAGGCAGAGGCTCAGAGAATGGGGTCTCAAAAGATGTGTGGGTGTATGACACTGTTCATGAGGAATGGTCCAAAGCTGCCCCAATGTTAATCGCTCGGTTTGGACATGGCTCGGCCGAATTGGAAAACTGCCTGTATGTGGTTGGTGGACACACTGCAGTGGCTGGAGTCTTTCCCGCATCTCCTTCTGTTTCCTTGAAGCAAGTGGAGAAGTACGATCCCATATCCAACAAATGGACAATGGTGGCTCCTTTGAGAGATGGAGTGAGCAACGCCGCGGTGGTGAGCGCCAGGCTCAAGCTTTTCGTCTTTGGTGGGACCAGCATTCACCGGGACATGGTGTCCAAAGTCCAGTGTTACGATCCAGCTGAGAATCGATGGATGATCAAAGCCGAATGCCCACAGCCCTGGCGCTACACGGCAGCCGCTGTCCTGGGCAGCCAGATTTTCATCATGGGAGGGGACACAGAGTTCACGGCAGCGTCCGCGTACCGCTTTGACTGCGAGACGGACCAGTGGACACGCATCGGGGACATGACGGCCAAGCGCATGTCGTGCCACGCTTTGGCCTCAGGGAATAAACTGTATGTGGTAGGGGGTTACTTTGGCACTCAGAGGTGCAAAACGCTGGACTGCTACGACCCTACATCAGACACGTGGAACTGTATCACAACGGTGCCTTACTCGCTCATCCCCACAGCTTTTGTCAGCACCTGGAAGCATTTGCCGTCATGAGGAGGGGCAAGGCTCGGGGGGCTTGTATCCAGGAGGTCAATAAGGTAAGGGTCTCCTCCTTTTAAACTGAAACTTGCCTCAATTGCGGCTGCACCCACTGTGCCGGAGCCACGGGTTCCAAGTTGTTCATGAGGTTGTTTTAGGGGCAGGGAGATTTAAAGGTGTGATGCAGAGCCTGGAAGGAGTAGCCAGTCCTGCGATGCTGTAGGCCAAGCTAGCTCCCAGGGTTCTCTTATTTCCAGCTGATCCTCACAGCATCTTTAGAGATGCATCTACATCTACAACCTGCATGGTTGCAAGCAGGCCACAGCTCCTCTCCCTTTCCTCCAAGGTAGCTGGATGTGACAGTGTCACCCTTCTGTGGGTGGGAGAGCAGATGTGTCCACACCTGCTCTCATGGCTCTCACTGCAGAATACATCCTGTCCCCATGCAGTTGAGGGAGTTAAAGTTTCTAAAAACACTTGAAGGTGAGTCCTGGGAGATACCAGGGCCACAAGTGCTTTGGAAATGTCTCAGTAGTTCAATATTTTTGCTGATTTTCTGGGTGATTTATTCGGAACTGATGAATATGTAGGCAAGTGACCCTTGGAATGCTGGCAAATCCTGGCTCTCTTTTTATGCTCTGTATTTACATTTCAGTGGGTAGCAGAAGCAAAAGCTCAGAAGCCACGATGCATTTGATGGCCCTGGTGTTTATTTATCATCCAAACTGTTGCTTGTTAAATCAGAACTTCTGAAACTTCTGTGTAAGACCTGAGTGGGAGGGAAGGGGTTTTGTAACCAGAAGAAGAATGTGTTTATCAGTGTTTTGAGGTGTGTGAGAATAAGAAAGTTGGTGGAATCTCATGATGTCCTGTCTCATTCTGGTGCTCCAGTTCTTGCTTGCTCAGGGAAGGTGCTGCTGCAGTGCCACTGGGACAGGACTGCTGATTCCTCCTCTCTCCTCCCCAGTGGGATGTTTGGTTGCCCCTCTGGTTCCCGGTGTGGCTCCACAGAACTTTGCATGTCTTCACCAATCTGCTGAGATACAGCTGGCCAGGCAAAGGCCAAAAACTCTTCTCACCTTGCCTTGTAAAAGCAGATAGTGATACGGGCAACGGTTGGATACCATCATCTCACCAGGAAGTCTGTAACACCTCTTCTAGCTCAGTCTGCAGGTTTCACAGAGCCAGCAACACACAGAGCCCTGCTTTGGTGGTCAGAGCCTACATCCCAGCCAGCTGAAGGAGCTGGTATGCGTGTGGGATTGACAAGCTTCACTTACAGTTTTATTTGGAAAGTGGGGACTGTGGGGAGGGAAATTCTTCCACAAACTCATCAAAATCCACTTCACTTAGCACAGGGAAGAAAGAATGCTGCTCAAACCCTCTAACACCCTCTCACTTCCCTGCTTCCCACTTGGTGTGGTTGGTGTGCCTGGGAATCACCCAGCGGGGGAAATTGCTGGCACCTCCCAGTGATCATTTCTTTTGATGCCAGCTGGGAACCAAGGAGGAGTTCCTGGCACATCTGCTGGTTATTTGCCCAATGTGACCACCTGCTTTTCTCAAGTGGGAAAAAATCACCTAGGGCATTGCTCTGGCCTTTGTGAAACAACTGGTTTTAACATGAGTTGGACCACCGTGAGGGCAGGGTGAGAGTGGAAAGGGTTAAAATGAGATCTGAGAGTGTTCCAAACACTGGAAGATAATGACCTTTCCAAATTCTCCTCCTCAGGCGTTGCCTAGCATCTGTCACAGTGGCTCAGTAATCTAATTAACTGCCACTTGGCTATTAAATATTGCAGCAAAGAGTGTGAGGACTCCATCATTTTCAGCTCAGGTCGATGGGGCCTCTCTTTAAGAGCCATCCTAGAGCTGAAAATTAATTTTCCCTGGTAGCAGATGCATCTGAATATTAAAGCTCAACACCAGCCATGCTCCTGGGAATAGGACAGGGAATAGTTTGAGGTGGGAGTTGATTCTTCAGCTGCTGAATAAAAAAGTCTTCAAAATCACAGTGATGTTATTTTCCTTTCCTACCCTTTTTCCTCCGTACTGTATTTGGTTTGGTCAGACCTAATAAATAGCTTCAGGGGGTTGCATAGATAGGTTTCCCCTCTGTAATCTGGAGCCTGATACAGCACAAGAAAACTAGGAGCTGTAATATACCAACCTGCAGATTAAATTGGTGAAAAGTCACTGTGTGAGGGTTTTATGTGCTTTTTTGGCTTCGCTTCCACTCTTCGGTTAAAAGAAGTATTTAAAATATACACGAGCTCTTGCCAGAAAGAATGTCTCTCCACGTGATTTTTCTTTAGGTTTTTTATTTTTTGGTTGGTTTTTTTTTTACTAATTTATTGTTGTGGCCTCAGCCAGTGTGACAGCTCCTTACATAAAGCACCAGGATGGGTGAGTGAATGTCTCTGATGTGCATGTGTTGCAGTGCTGCACCAGCCATGTCCCATGTGCTTGCCTTGGCTGTCTTGGCTGTGCTTGGGTCAAAACTGGGCTCAGGAACTGGGGTAACTGTCTATAGGATCCTATGACTACACCATTGTCCTGTAGCAGGTCTGGCTGAGGGATCTTTTGGCTTGTAGCTCCCACCATGGAAGGTCTCTACTGCAACATCTGGATAGGCCCTATGGGATCCTTCTTCAAGTAGGAACACCCAGAAGGCAGGCTGGCTGTGTCCAAGTGTGCTTTGGCAATACTAACCCCCTCAGATGGAGAAGGCTCGGGAGGGACCATCCCTCAGAGCAGAGCAAGCTGGGCTGGTGGGGAAAGGCCTGGGCAATCACATGGCAGGAAATAGTACTTTGTACTCATGGAAAAAACAACCTCTTGCCTATAAACTGGTCCCTGAAACCCAAATAATCTGTCCTTGGCAAATGTTGATCATAAACTTTTCATTTAAAGCATAAAGCTGATCAGCTGGAAATGTTTCCTTGAGGGCATGGCCTTTGCCCTTCCCAGCTGGAGCCGGGGCACCTTTCGGCAGAGGTCCCAGCGGCCCTGCCAAGGAGGCCGTGTGACATTAATTTAGTGCTTATTACCTGCAGCTAATCCCAGGGATCAAGCGTGATTAGCAGTATGAAACGTGAAAGCCTGGTCTCCTCCCACCTGGAGCCGTGAGGACGCAGAACATTACGAATGGGAAATAAAATACTGAGCACTCGGCTAATAAAGACTCTCTGTGTTTACAAAGTCAAGTGCAGCCTGGCCAGGAGCCCAGAGAAAGATGCTGGGTGGTCTGTCACAGTCCTGTGCAGTGACAGTTGATGGGGACAACTCCACACCTCCCTGGAGGTGACTTTGGGCTTCACCAGGAACAGGTTCTCCAAGCTGCCTGTCTCCACATTAGAAGTGGCTTCTCCAAACTGTCTGTCCTGTGTGACACTCATTTTCGTGGGGCAGAGTCACAAATGGGAGTGGGACAGTTGTTTCAGATTGCATGGTCCAGCCAGGGAGGGTGAATTGGAAAGGGAAGTCACTGCATCCCTCTGTGCTGCCTTCTGAGCCTCAAATGCTCCCCTGGGGTGGAGGTGTTGGAATTCCCATCTCAAAACAAATGGGATGAGCCAAACCCCATCACAGTGAGAAGCCATGGGTTTCCCTGCCCAGGGGTTCCCATTCTGGTGCTTTTTAGCTCCTCCAGGATCCTCCTCACGGTCTGTGGGCTGTAAGGAGGGGAGGCCGGTGGCTGGGCAGCACTCAGACACTTATTCCTGGGACACATCCGAAAGCTCAGAGCCCACTTCATGGCTCCCACTGGAGCCCTTTGGTGGGCTTAGCTCCCATGAGGGCTGTGGGCAGCATCAGCAGCTGGTACCTGCTGTTGGGTGGGTGCTGAGCAACCGAGGCTGAAGTAAATTGAGGGTGTTCTGGCTCCTAAAATGAACTTTGGCCCCAAAGCTCCTGCAAGGATTTAGGGCACGTGTCAGGCCCTGAACTATATTCTGATACCACACACGCTGTGTCAAATCTGTTCAGTGGCTTTTCCTGATTATTATATTACATCTTAGATAACAAGCTTTCGCAAAGACACATTTAGTGCTGCTTGGTGTGGCTCCCTTCCATGTGGAACAGCGCTCCACCAGCTTTTACCTTGCAACAATCACAGAATTTTGTTGCCATGCATCATTCTCGGCTCCATCCACAGAGCCCTGTTCACAGAAAGACATCTTCCCATGTGAAAACCTGTGTACCTGCAAACAGCAGCCTAAAAAAAGCCCAGGATAATCTCCTGGCTCCTAAACGCTGCTGCTCACCTGCGTGCTCCTGGAGTGGTTGCTTGCAACCTGTTGCAACCTCGCTGGAGCTGCCAGAACAAAGTCACAGCTGGTTTCTCTCAGTGGCTCCTAGGGAAACCCATTTGCATGTGTATAATAGCAAGGCCGGATAAACAGGGATTGCAGATTTTTTGCCGCTGCTGCTCTTTCCAAGCGGCTGGTTGTCTCTGAAGCCAGTTTATCAGGCAGCGTTGGAAGGGAGTGGCTGGCCTGGGGAGGAAAGTCGATGAAAATCAGGCTTTTCCTAACCCTGGGCAGATGGAAACATGTGCAGTCTGAGCTAGGCCCCAGACTGGATTAATCAACCCCTTGGAAATGTCAGTGATACGGATGTTTTTGGAGGAACCTGCGGAAAAAGAGAAAAAGGGTCTTTTTGTTTTGTCTGTTCCAGTTCTTGGCCCCTCGTCCCTGCCAAAAAAAAACCAACAAAAAAAAACTCTTCTTTTTTTTCTCAATTTTTCATTCCCTTGTCATGTCCACAGAAGTTTCCTGCCCGTCTCTGAGCCCTCCCCAGCTGAACACCCTCTCTCCCCCCTCTCATGCTCAAGCAAAGCAGAGTCCAACTCCCAAATAAGCCAGCTTCTTTCTACCTCCAGCCATTTCTGGGATTTGGGGTGGGGGTTACCCCAGTAACTGCCAATGCTCCCCTGTGTGGGCTGAGCCAAGCATCACACCGGTTAATGAGCTTTCTCTTTCCTTCCCCAGATGCCAGAGTCACATCCATGTCCCCTCTCGTGCAGTTGGAGCTGACAGCACTGTGACTGAGTCCCCTCCTGTCGTCCCACCCAGGACTCCGAGGCAACTTCCACGTCCCTTCCCGGCACCAGGAGTGGGAGGCACAGCCAGACTCTACGCTGGCATCACATCACGGGGCCACCAAGAGCCACTCGGCCCCACCACTGGCCATCAGGCAGGGATGGCACAGAGCCAGGAGCACTGGCTGCAAGGCAGGGACTGGGCACGAGGGGCACAGGGATGGCTTGTGGGCACCAGTGGGCCACCAGCACCAGAGAGATGGAGGCTGCATCCCTTGGCAAGCACTGCTGGGCAGCCCTTATGTGCTTTTTGTTACTCAGTTGGGGGGTTAGGAGATACTAATTTTTTTTTTAAAGGCGGCAAACTTGCTATTGTCAATGCTTGCTGCTTGGGTGACTTGGAAGTGTTTGTTAAGGGGAATGGGGTGAGAACACCTGGCCCTCCCCATCCTCTGGCCGCTCAACGGAGGCGATGGCTGTAGAAACATTAAAGTGTGGGAGCTTGGGGTGGCTGCCAGCAGCACCAGGTACTGTGGTGAAACAAGGCAGGTGCTTTTTGTTTTGCACTTTGGGCCTTTTAAATTTTTTTTTTCCCACTTTCCTCGCTGCAGCCGGTTGTGATTTGGTTGGAGGCTGAGTAGCTCCCCACACACAGCTGCTGGGAAGAGCACAGCAGCTCTGTTAGTGTGCCAAGGCACCGGCACCACTGCTCAGATATTCACCAGATAAAGCCCACTGTGTGCTCAGAGCCGGTCTGCTGAGCTTCCCTCCGCGTGGGTGAGGGTGTAATTAGCACAGGAGCAGAAACAGGGCTGCAGCTCGTGCCTTGGGAGGGGGCATCTTGCCACCAGCGAGGCCTCAGAGGGAGAGCAAGTGGATTAGGGGAGCATGGCAGGGTGAGCAGGGGAGGGATCCCCCTTATTCCCACGGCACCCCACATCCTGGCTTCACCTTGCAGAGATGTGAGTGTTTCTGACTGCATACTGCCTGCTCCTGGTTGGACTGAGGCTGCCCCAGGTTATCCACACATGCTGGCTGCTGACTGTGTTTGGGATTATGCATTCAAGAGCTGTCAGCTCAAGTTGCTCCTCACTCATGCTGTGAAGGAGGGCACATGGATTTGGGATGTCAAGACAGGGATGCAGCTCCTGCCTGGCCTCTATAGGGCTGGCCACTGCCAAGGACTGGTCCTGCACCAACCCAGCATCCCACTTCCCTGCACAGCAGATCCGCAGATGCTCCAGGCTTGCCTTTTGCCCCTGGATTAGGCTGAGCTGTAGCCTGGCCAGCTGAATGATGCAATGCTCTGAAAAGCCTTGACACAGCTTCAAACAACAAAGGTCTTTTCGGAGCAGCGGGTGCCCATTGCTGCCGGGGAGAACACACGTTTTGCACAGCCAGTCTGCGACGCGCTGAATGACGTTTATTTACGTTTTCTAGTCTTTTTTTTTTTTTTCCCTTCAGCTGCTTGTGAACTTTAATAAAAATGATGATCTGGGAAACCGTTTGTGTGTTTTTCACAGGAGTCTTCATTCTTAAGTAAGTTGGATTTAGGTCTAATAACAGGGCCGAGGACTAATAACAGGGTTGGCACTTGGTGGGGCGGTTCACAAACAGCCTCCGAAGCAACCAGCCTGGCTGTAATTATTATTGCTTCAGCGCTTGGGAAACTGAGGCACAATGTCAACTGGCTTGTCCAAGGTTAGTGGTAGATCTGGGAATAAAGTCCAGGACTTCTCGTGCCCTGAGGACATCACATGTCTCATGCTCCATGGCTGCTTTCACTCAGCTTGTCCGTGTCATGATTTTAGGAGAACTTGCAAGTCTGCAATGGTAATAATACCTGCCAAGTAGGTTGAGGGGCCCAACAAAGAGACAGCCGTACTCCTGCAGGGGAAGCCAGTAATTTCTAAGGACGATGAAGAATTCATACTTCTGTTTTCCTTATTTGCCTTTGCTTGGCTGCTGCAGCTCCCAAGAAAGGGGCCCATTGACAGGAGAGATGGAGCTTTCCAGCTGGGCCCCCGTCCATGCTTCTCCTCTGTGTGCATCTCTCCCCATCCCAAAGGAGCAGGGGACTGATCCAGCCCTGCTCTGGGAACTCAAGCCCCTGCTCAGGTCTGGGACCATGGGAGCATCACTCAGAGCAATGAACAGGCACCAGGCAAACTTGCATTTGCCTCCTCTTATAGCAGGGGCCAATGGGTTTGGGAAACAAAACTTCTATGGGTGTTACACACAAAGGGATTTAAAGCCTAAATTTCTGAGGTGTAAAGGACACAGGAAACATGTCCCCCTGCCTGCAGGAGCTGGGTAGGCAGCAGCATTAGCTGACGAGCTGAGCAGATACAAGTATAAGGCTCCATAGAAAAAGCTTATTAAAGAACCCTTTGGGAAATGAATTCAGGGTAGAAATTACTGTTTGATGAGCAGGAGGGGGGAAAAAGAGAAGGGGTGTGTGAATGAAATCCTCTATAGTTTTGTTGATTCAGGTTTTATATGTGACTATGGGACTTTAAATAGCAGCTGGGGAGGCTTTGCAATGGGCTTGCTTTGATATGAGCCATGCAGAGACCTGCTCTTTTGTATTTATTCTGGAGCTTTCCTGAAAGACAATTCAAAAGCCATCAGCAGCTGCTGTGACAGCAGCAACCTGTTGCTATGGAATTAAATGCAATGAGAAATACAAAGGTTTCTTGGTTAGCAGCAACAGAGTAAAAGGGGAGCAGGAGGTGAAAATGGATGTAACAGTCAGAATAAAGCTACAGCCAGAGCGGGGCTGGGGTTTAAAAGGGAGGTACAGGGGTAGGAATGTAAACCTGATTTGTTTTCCTTTTTTAAAAGGTTTTTTCACCATCTCAGCAGGTCAGGCACAGCTTTGTCTGGGAGGGAGCACTTGGGAAAGAGTCCTGTCTGGTGGTGTTACAGGGATCCTGTGTTCCCAGGCTCCTGGGAAACATGCCCACAGGCTATAGCCAGCCCTCTCTGTGGGGTGTCAGGAACTCAGACATCTTCCCCACGAGGTGCCAGGAACCTGGCATGGAGATCCCCTGGAGGGGCAGGGGGGCTTGTCCCACGCCTCCCTTGTTTTGCTGGTCCCAGTCCCACGGGAGAGCTTGGGCAGGACACAGCTCCACTCCACCCACCCTCTGGCCTTATCTGAAGCCTGCTCATGGGCTCTCTCCTCCTCTGTTCCCCAGCTCTGTAACAGGGTGCTTCTCACTCTCCAAAAAGCACTTTGGGAGGAGAGGGTGGGGAGATGCTCAGAGAGGGAGCAGGGCAGGCAGCTGGCAGGATCAGACCTCTCCTGGGCTCAGGCCTGGGGACTTTCATCCCCAGGGACTGACCATGGTGAACCTCCCCAGTCGCAAAAGGCCGATACTCCTATGTCTTCTTTAAATAAATCTCATAGTGCCTTATTGGTTTTTAAATATGCATTTTCCCAGCCTGACCCCAGCTGCCCTTGAAATAATACTGTTGTACAGAGAAGCCCTGCAGGGAATTATCTTCTGAGCCTGCTCTCCCTTTGTCATGAAAGTCAATTAAAAGCAGAGTAGCTGGTGATTTAATAGCTTCGGTGTCTGAGGAAGCCCCACATCCATCCAGAGGCCAACTCTGGCATTTAAACACATAATTGGAGTGGAGGAGTGTTTTTTTCCAGCCGTCCAACATGCTTTCAAATTCATCCATGTCTATACAGAGCACTGAAGCCTCGTGTCCTTGGCTTGTCATCTTCTGCACATTAATTAATGCTCCAGCATTGCACATTCTCCTTGCAATATATTCCCATGTCAAATTGTTTTCCTATTTTCCCATGCACCTTTTCCCTTGAGGAAAACCCAGCACATTTCAGTCTCTGAAGAGGGTCCAGGCTCACAAAACGCCATGCATCGAAATGTTGCTCAGTAAGTAGCATTTGGGTTAAGCTTCCAAGAGCAGGAGAAACCGTTGCCCCCAGCTCCCCATAACCACCTGGAAGTTTAAACTGGCACCAGTCCCTCTCGTTCCAGTGCAGAGCAGGAGCCCTGTGCCCTCCAGGCACAAGCAGCAGTGCTGGGGGCCCATAGTGGGAGCCAGCAGCAGGGACTCCCAGTGGGAGTGAATAGCCGGGGCTGAGCTCATTTATTCTTCCTTCCTCACAATCTCCCTTTTCTTTCCATTTCACCACCTCCTTATTTAACATCCTCAGCCGTTGTGCAGAACCCTCACCCTGTTTGCAGCAGTGTGACCTACTTTACCACCACGTCCCGACTTCCTCACTGAAATTGTGAGCTCAGAGCCCACCCAAGCCATTCAGCATTTCTCAGCTGAATAACAGATCCAATTAGGTGGAAAAAGCCTGGCTTTTCATGCTGTCAGTGCCTGGATATCTCACTTCCCGCTTCCCCAGCACACGCTGCACCACTGATGTCCACGTCTCGCAGGCATCGTAGACAAGGACCCCTCTGTGTTTGTGTGCCCCCCGCCAAATGAAGGTGGGGGAAGGGCTCCAGAGGACTGATCCTGGCTACCCAATGTATCCTTTCATTCTTCCTGACAATCTCTGTGGACCACGGAGCTCAGGAATCAAGTAATCTGTAGATTTCCAGTTCTGGCTTTCTTGGGAAGCCCTCCCTTCCCAGCTGAATTCCAGGGGGAATTGTCCTGGGCCAGGCTAAGATGGCACAACTTGTGCTTGTGAAGAAACTGCTGGCACTTTTGGCCAGAATGTGATTTAATGACTGATAGAAAGACCTGACTCTCAGTTCTGGCATCACAACCCCAGTCCTGTGGGTCTGTCCAGAGCAAACATTGCAAACTGCCCTTTGCTGCTCCCCCCATTCTCCTTTTCCACCCCAGCTGGGATCTTTCTACCTACAGCCCCAGCAGGCAGCCAGTCCCCAGGATGCTGGCTCTGTTCCATTGTGGGGGATAGCTGGTTATTAAAGGGGATGAGTAGAAACAAAACAAGACAAAAAAGGCTTAAGGCCCACTAGGAAAAGGCCTTTTGGCTTTTAACTTCCCTGGCTGGGTGGGATGGACAGCCATCCCCTGCCCTGAGGCCAGCCCAGCAGCACTGGGACTCGCTTTGCTTTCCAGCAGGTGCAGGGAGGCGGATGAACACCCACCACTCCATTTCTGGGTCACTGTCTGGAGGAATTACACATGCACACACAAACAGGAGCTGCTTCCCACTTCCCGGCACCCAGCTGAGCACCCGCCGCCTCCCGGCCCCCTCTGCCCACGCTGCTGCCCCGCCAGGCTCACGGCTGCTCCCGGGCTTCCCACAGGGCTCTGCTAATGACTCAACGCTCCTGCTCAGTTCTAATTAGGCTACTGTCTAATTAGGCTCACTGGAAAGATGTGGCCGGTGAGAAACAGCCCTTTGGTGAAAGGAAAGGGGAAAGAAAGAGCATCTGGAGACGCTGAGTGCCAGAGGGAGAGACGCCAGGCGAGAGGTCAGGGGGGACTGAGAATTACCAGCTGAGCTGCGGCTGTGCAAGGGATGGACCATAAAGGAAAGAGAGCAAAGGGACTGACACAAGTTCCTTCCAGGGACCCTCCTGGGGTTCAGCCCTGCCATGTTGGGAAGCAGGAAACAAACCTTTGCTCCATCCCACTGAGGTGCCGGGATGTCCTTCAGCCAAGAGCGAGGGCTGCCATTTATAGCCCCATGAACATCGACATACAGAGGAGCCCCGGGATGCTGGGAGAGCAGGACAGGGCAAGGCAGGGCAGGGGGGACCCAGTCCTGAATCTGTGCCATCCTCCCCCGGGCCTCCTTGGAACAGAGGCAGGAGAGCAGGCTCTGGAACAAAGCCCTGTTTGGGGGTGTTTCAAAAGGTGTGAAGACAGCTTTATGGGGGACAAAAAGGACACCCACTGTGTCTGTCTGTCCCTGTGAGGGCTGCGGGAGCTCACTTGTACAGGCTCTTATATAAGTTGCTAGTGTCAAATATTATTTTCCACTTAATTTTAACATGGTCCAACCTCCTAAAAATCAACACATTTGCTATGTTTAACATTCCAGTAACTAATTAACAAATCCCAGGTGCCTTTAATGGCAAAGGTAAGTCATTCCTTTACCATTCACCTTGTATCTGATCACAAGGCATCTCACTCACTCACTGCAATAATTAGGGTTTTGCCTTTCCTTTTAATAAAACCTCCATGAATGAGTGGCCTGTCTGCAAGCCCCAGCGCAGCCTGCACCTGTGTCCTTCCAGACCTCCAGTTTCTTCCCCTAAACCCAATGCCAGAACTGAGCCCAGCAAGGGCAGGGAAGGGAAAACACAGATAACACAAATGTTAAAGGTATCAGTAAACCATGTTTCCAAGGAGCCTCTCCTCTGCCTGTCAATGCTCCTTTTAGAGGCCCATCCCAGTCTAAGGATTCTGTATGATCCCTTTTAGGTGATTGTGCCAGTGAAAATCCAACCACATCCAGACAAACCCGCAGAGATCTTTTGTTCTAACATTGGGCGCTAAGGAAAGGCTGAGGCTGGGCAAGAAGCCT